TTCAACTGGTGGCCCAAAGTTCGGCCCGCCAATTATTTCATTCATCTCTTAAGCCCAAACCCCCGGTTTTCTACTTTAATTACTATAAGTTATTTTAGTTAAACATAGACATGTTTGGTATCTACAGAAATGTCAGAATCTTGGCTAGAAGCTGGTAAAAAACATTTCTATAAACACTCAAGACAGTTAAAACTACAAGCAGTTGAAGATAAAATGATGAAAGTGAAAATAAAATTGTTTTAAAAATTTGGCAAGTCAGAGATGTCAAAATATTATTTGTGTTAAATAGGAGGCATAATGTGTTCTTTTTGTTTTTGATAATGTGTCACTACTTTTATAGGGTTGTGCATATTGTATTGATGATTAAATGCAGCAAAATAAACTAATTCAAAGGTAACAGATCTTTGTAATACTTTGTTTATTTACATAATAACTAATTGCTGGATGTTCGGCCCCTGAGCTGTTGACCGGCAGAACTGTGACCCCCGGAGCAGTTTAGTTGAATAGCCCTGATTTAAACCAACATCCAACCAGTAATAATGGGGGGGAAAGGTTTTATTTTGAAAGACCTAACGCGCTTCCGGTAACCTGTCTTCAGCTGTAAATCGACGGTGGAGGGAGAGAAGTGGGGGTGAAGAAGGGGTGGGGAGGGTTTGAAGTGTTTCAGGATTCGTGAATCTGACAAACAGGAGCTTGTTGTCTCTCGTTCTTGTCCCTCCGGGTTCAAATCTGACAGAAAATGTCGCTTTTATCAGGAAAAACCGCCGGATTTTCGCGCGTAATAGTTTTCGGTTTCCAACTTTCTACTACAACAGGTTCTTTATAATTAGACGGATTTCGGGGTTTCGATTGGATTTAAGAGGTTTGAACTCTTTCAGATGTTTTCTTTTTTTTTCTCCAGATGTTTTTATTTGTACAATCGCGATAAAACATCCTGCTATCGCCCAGGTAACCAGCCCTCCTCTCCATCCGTCTCCAGGCTTCATCCTCAGCCGGAGGCAGCGCGCGACAATAAAATCACCTCCTCCTCCTCCTCCTCCTCTCAGTGGAACCATCTTTTTTATACAAAGGGTGAGACTTTCCACGTGTTTCTGTGCACACACGTGTTTATTTGGGAGCAGTGAGGTTCATGTGTCGTGGAGGTGAAGGTCCTCTGCGCCAACATGCCGGTGAGACGCGGACACGTCGCGCTCCAGAACACCTACCTGGACACGATCATCAGGAAGTTCGACGAGCAGAGTGAGTCCGGAGCAACAGTTGTCAGCAAAATACACCAAAACAACACAAAAGCAATACAACTTTTTAAAAATATTATCCTGCATAACCCTGAATATTTTCAACATAGTTACTTTTTTATTCTTTCCATTTCAAACTTTAGCTTTTATGTTATGTTTAGCTAATTTTACGTTTATTTAGCTCGTTCCGGCGATCAATCAATGGTGAATCTTTTTGTAAATTTAGCTTTTATAGTTTTTAAAATATGTAATTTTAATTTACTTTTTTGGTTCCGTTCAGATATATTTCAGTTTTCCATGTTTTAGAGTTAAGTTTAGTAGGCTTTATTTTAGCTACATTATGCTAATTTCATCCTTCAGATAATGTTTTGCTAATTTTAGTTGTTAGCCTTGAGCTTAGCAACTTTTAGGTTTGTGTTTACTAATATAAGATATTTTGTTGCTAACTTTAAATTCTATCTATCTATCTATCTATCTATCTATCTATCTATCTATCTATCTATCTATCTATCTATCTATCTATCTATCTATCTA